AGCAGAAATGTTTCAGCGGAGGCTTGAATGGTACCTAGTGGAGCATATTCTGATGTTATTAGTTTTTTCGTGAATGTACGCGTAAAGATCATATAAAGGTCAATTTTGTTTTTTTAAATAGGATGAGGCATTTTTTAATACATCAATCGATGCAGTTGGACATTCGTTATAAAAAACTGCTAACCTATGTATAATAATTCTAAAACACTATTACTGTCGTACTAAGACGTTAGCGTTTATTTATAGGAATGGTAATAAAGTACAACAGTAATGGTGTTTTAGAATTATTTAAATTGAAATATCTCCTGAACTACTAACTTTTCGACATACATAGGTTAGCACTTTTTTATAACGAATCTCCAGCTGCATCGATTGATGTATTAAAAAGTACCTTATTCCATTTAAACAAACAATGTTGACCTTTATATGACCCTTACGCGTCCACTCACGAAAAAAGTAACATCAGAATATGCTTCACCCGATACAATTCAAGCCTCCGCTGAAACATTTTTTGCTACGAGTAACAATAACGAGAAAAACAAGATGTCAAAATCGGGTGGGACACCCCGTATACATATATTGTACCTACACACAGGACCAGGGTCAGTAATTTCTGCGCGCTTTAGCCTATCTACGCTAGATCCTCCAAAGCGATACGAACGATTTATTAACGCGTGGGGCTCTGCGCCATGACGCCACTATCGCCTTTAATTGCCCGTTTCTCGCGATCCCTTATCCGTGGTATCGGGTGGAAGCAACGGAGAGGAGGAGGGATACGACCGTGGCACGCGTCGAGGACGGATTTAATCGATCGAGATTTTCCAGTTGGTTCGAGTTTGTTTATTATTTTGTTTTTTTTTTTCAATGAAACTGATGTGCCCGAATAGAGGGCAAACGGAGATCAGTATCCAGCGTGCCTCGTCGGAGAATCGAGGGGACGGACGCCGGGATTGGCAGAGAAATTGCGGAACCGAATATAAAGGTTTCCCTCTCGTTGACCCAGATAACACCGTCGACTACCGGAGATTGTCAAGGGAGGCGATCCGGTCGCACACGCCGCGTGGATCGATATAATACACGTCTTAGGAGAGCCTTCGGACCCACCCAATCGTGAACACGGTATTTTTCAATCGGCTACGGCCAACTGTTTGCCCCGTTTTCCGACGTTCCTCGAAGGGTATCCGCCCCCTCCGTTCGAAAATATTGGAAGAACCTTGGGGATTTCTCCTTTGTTAACTACGATCCTCGGCAAACTCGACCACATTATATAATTCGCGATGCCTGATGAAATTTTGTACCCTCACGGAAATGACAGATGGACGTTTTGAAATTGTGAATACAATGTCGGAAAATGTGTCATTTTCCGGGAGATCGAGAAGGAACTGATTCGTTACGCTGCCTTTCATGTATTAACCCTTTGACCCTTTTAGTACCTTAGGGCCGATATATCGGCTTTCCATTTTTAATATAATTTCAAAATATGTCATGATACTTTTTTTATAAACTAAGTTTATGTAGTGGAACATACGTTTACTGGATAGGAATAATAAAATTTTTAGAAAAACCTGTAGATATCTTCATTTTTAAGAGGAATATGCTAATTTTAATGGATACCTCAAATATCGCAGATTTTTCAAGATATTTTTGGATTGTCCATTGTTACATCGGTGCAAATCTCATTCTAATGAGATACAGCATATGTATCATTCTCGTTATTTTCAAATAACGATTTAAGGGACTGGGCGTCAAAGGGTTGAGAAGCCGAGGCAGTCAGATATGGTGTTTGGCTTTGCAATTAATTCCCAAATAAAAGTTACATTTTTACCAAATCTGTCTAATCCCCTTAAACGAAGTGTCAACTAGCACGAAGTATTGGACATCAATTTATGACATTTTCCTGCATGATGCTTCTACAATTTAGAGACATTATTTCGGAAAATTGTAAATTTTTGACTTCTGTGTTATCATGCCGAAGAAATGGCACAATGGTAACCACAAAAGCAGGCTTTGCAACGCAGTCGTCTTCGAGACAGGCGCTCTGAAAAAATTCCTTCGATCGACGAAGCGAACGCGTGTAATTAGCAACGATGAAATAACGAAACGGTGACGAGACCGCATCACACGGATTAAAAATACACGAGGTGGAATTCTTTTTCCTTTTTTCTTTCTGACGAACGCCCACGAATTATCGCATCGCGGGCCCGTTGCAAATCCCGAGTTGATTTACGGACGATGGCCGTTGCGTTACGCGGCGCGTCGACGCGTATCTCGCTTTCCTTGGGGCCCCACGCGTTGATGTCTCCGCTCCAGCGACGCGTAACCGATGCGCGCGCGAGTGTAAAATTTTTTATGGCCGTCCAGTGTTTTATTTTTTTCGCAGTTTTGTTTTTCTTCACCCTCCCTTTACGCAACGAAACAGAAGAAATTCTAACGTCTTAACAACGACGCCAGCTGTGTTCCCTGCGCGCGAAACAGTTTTACGACGATAATAAAATCATTGGACAGCAAGGTGTCTCGATGACGCCTGGGTTTCCAGTTACGATCCACCACCTTGCTCTCTCGCCTCGAGAATCGAATCCGTCAAAACCCAAGATCTCCACGTTGAATCGTCGTCAGCACGGTTTCTACAAAACCCAATTCGATGTCGACACGTTTTTATTCGGGGATTAATGTGCAACCCTCTTACGTCACGGTTCCCGAGGCCCCAGTTTGATGGGTAAATTAAAATACTCCGGTGAAATTTCGGGAGTTATTTGATAATGTCAGAAACAACGTTCCTGGTATTTTTTCTCTTCGGGCGGTTTCGTAATTGCCTGTCCGCGAGGCTCCACGGAACACTAAATAATTCTGGTTTGTTCGACGGAATTTTTCATGATTCTTTATCAGTGGTCGGTATCGATGTTGAAAGGGGATTCGTTCCTCCGACGAGTCCGTCGATTTTCGAATTATTTCTTCCGGGAACAACAGTGAATTGCGGAACACGTTTCGACAGCCATCGAACCGGATGAATTTCAATTGTTGTGTCAACCATCGAGACTGTCCGTATAAAAGCAATCTTGAACTGGTTTCGGGTCTCGGCGGTCCGTTAAAACTGAAAGTTTTTACCGAAAAGTCGTCGTCAGCCTTGAATTTTAACCAGGTCAAAATGTCAGAATCTTCGCGACACTTTTGAATCGACCACGCGACGTTCAAGGAAAAAAAATCTGACCGAGTACACGTCAGATACGTTACCCGGACGAAAAACGATGGAAATTTCGAGCTGACAGGATCCTCGATAATCCGTGGAAAAAATATCGTGGCCATCGAGAATGATATTTCCATTGGAAAATGCGAACGCGATAGAAGCAAATGGACGCGACGACCGTCGTTCGTTTATCATCTTGAATACATAATTGGAATCTATAATTAGAGAGATTTTTATCAAATCCAAACCTATCGTTAATTCCGAGATATACCAAAGTTTCTCTCTCTTAAATCTTTCCGGGGGCCAAAGCGAATTTCTACTTACGTCCGCGGTGATTTTCGCAACTTATTCGAACAGCCTTCGTCTCGCCCATCCTAATCAGCTATTAATAGTTTCCGAACGATCGATAAACAACTGCATTCCGAATTAACCCTGGTTTTACGGCCACGGAAAGTTCAGACCGTGCTACAGAAAGAAAAAATCCTTTTCGGTCCGGTAAAAATTTATTCGCTCGAAAACATTCGTGCGATAAAATTGTACAGCGGAAAAAAGTGCAGACGGTGACGACGATTCAGGAATGCGGTCGAAATTTTCGTTTCTGTGTCTCTTTGGGAAGATACCGTCGTCGATATATGGTGTGTCGTTCCTTTTAATCGCGAAAAAACTGTTAATTTACCTAATTGGAACTGATCGCATCTTGCGAATGAAAGCTGCGAGAGATTCTTCGATTTTTGGTCCTTCTGTTATTGATTTTTTAACGATGTCGCCGGTCGATACTTATGATATTTCGGGGGACAATTTACCAGGCAGGGAAACGTCTCTCGAGATCCTAACAGCCGGTTCAGATGATACGGTTTTCGATCGAATCGGTAGGAGAAACTTGGGACGAATTTAATTGTTATAAAAACAAATGCCAATAGATCAACAATCCACTCCAACCATTTTTATACCCATTTCACCTGTTCTCCACCTCAGTTGTCGCCAACACGTAGCAATAAGCGGTTTTCTTAATATGACTACCCTATTGAATTAATATACCAAAAGTAAGCTTGCATTATTTATTACGTACTCGTTTGCATTTTTCTAAATCTTAAAAGCTATGTCACGTTTCTGTTTACATTTATCTTTATATCTCTATGTTTATGTCTATCTGTAAAGCAAATAAAAGTATCGTTTAAAAGCTTGTTTTCTATTACTTAGTTTTTTTTTTTCAATTTAGATACGGTGTTAGAATTATTTGGTAAAACTGGTATAATATATTTCAAGCTTTAAATTTCTTAATTCTAATTAGCTTAGAATTTTCTAAAAATTCTACAGAATTTAAAAGTCACAGACTCAAGAAGACAAATTGTTATGTTTCTCCCTTGCTTCTCCTAATAACCGATAACAGCATTCAAACGAATTTTCGGTGAAGATTGGAATCGTATGAAATGTATGAATGCTGTTTTATTATCGGTTCGACAAAGTTACCGATCGGTCGAAAAAACCGTATCGTCTGAACTGGCTGTAAAGGAGCCACCTTTCGTGCAGTTCCCTCGTCGATCTTGTTAACCGAACGTTACACGCTCGTGTTCGCGGTTTTACGATACTTTAATGCGGCCTTTGCCATCTAAGCGGCCCATTCAGCGTCGCTTTTTGCGGGTCCGTTCTGTTTAAACGCTCGGCCGTTCTAACACGATGCTATAACCCAAGGGGTTAAATATCATTCCAATTGTAAATGAACCACACAAGAATCTTGGCAACTATTCCACATGCACACCCTGTGTGTGTAAAGCAGACAAAACAATGGAATCTACTAAACGGCTCATAAACTCACCCCAGGATCCGTCCAGCCTCCGGGCTCCTGTAATAATCGCACCTGTGCAATGGCCTCCTGGGATCATCGACATACCTCTGTCCAGCAGCGTTGCACAGCGCCCTGTATATCTGGAACTGCAGCACCCCAGCCACGAAATTCCTGTAAAATATAAGAAAAAGGTGCACAGTAATTTACAGTTCATTTTCCTGCTTATGGATCAACATCAATCACGAGGATATCATCGATCTCCCCTTGATCATCCTACCTATTTCTGATCTCGAAACAATAGGTGGTTATAGGTACAATGATAAATCGAATCGAGCGACAAACGACTCGTGAGAGACGTAGGTAGACGATGAAATTAATTGTCGGACCGTTTAATGACCCCTGCGCGCTCGTTTCTTGAAGAAATCGCGGCAGGCCTCCTCAAGGCCAGTGTCAACGAGGTCGATCTCTGCCAGCTAATGGAATCCTTCGTCGACGCGAGACGAGGTCGGTTCGCTCTTCCCTGAATAGATCGCGAATGAAGAGAGAGAAAGCAAGGGGGACAGCGAACGCGTGTTTCACCGAGAACTCTTCATCGGCAACGACCTTTACGTAACACGTCGAGTTAGGTGGAGGCCCCCCTGAACGTTGTACACGTCCGTGTCTCCGCTTTCCATCGAAACTCGGCCGAGGAACACATTGCTATCTTGAAAACTGTTGGCGGGCCCCCGCGGATCGAAAGCGTGGAATGTCGCGCGCGCAACCGTTGCTCTCGGATGATCGTTTCATAACGTAATTACGGCGCCAGGATATTTTATTGGCCGGGATTTTTCGGCCCGCTTTCGCGACACGAATTTCACTCCGGGAAGCCCGGGGGAGGGGATCTTCGATAACTAACTGGCCCTCTAGGAGACTACGAGATCGGTCTGAATCGACCCTTTCGTTTCCACTGGGGCCATATGATAATATATTTTCAATTGGAACAATAAAATATTATATTTTTGAAATGTTAAAATATTTAAAATATTATAAATATGTATTTTCATATGCTTTTAAAAGTTTACCAATACAGGAAGACATTATTGGACCTTTGGTTCTTTCGTTTGCTGGAGTTCTAGAGGTGTGAAATTGTTAGCAGTACAATGAGAACTTAGAATATTTTAATCTCTTTCAAAATCTGCGTCAAGGTTTTGCTGATCGCAGGTAAGGAAAACGGGTTTTGTTGCGTGTAATAATTTTGTAATGTCCATTATTATACGTAAGTGTGATAGAAGTAAGAGAAAGGTGCCAAATGGCAACGAACGAAAAATAGCACCAAACGCTTTTAAAACGTTAAAAATATCTTCTGAATCATTTACATGACATGTAATACATACCAGAATGGGAAAAGAAATATTTCTTCCTAATTGTTAAATAATTTGTGAATAAAACGATTAACCAACTAGACTGTAGTTTTCTTCAATAATCTCGTTCTCGAAGACAGTTTTCGATGATGGTACCACTACTGTTGACCCATCAGTTTTCGATCTGTTTATGCATCTACTTTGTGATAGCTAAGCTCTTATCCCTATACGAGAGTGAATATGTCAAGCCAATTAATGTCAACGAAGGTGAAACCGAACGGTAGAAAACGTCAGTGGTCTCGAGCGATTACGCGGGCTAAGAATAATACTGCAGGCGAATTTTATCGATTGACCTTTGGGATCCGCCTACGTAGAGGATAGGAGAATCGCGTGTTCCTTCTATACACGCGTGTGGAAACTGATCCGAAGCGGGGTCGGCGCGGCGGGGCGTCGCGAGCCTTCATCGATATTCAAGGAGAGGAAAACACCTTTGACAATTAATTGAAACCAAGGTGAAACCTTCCGCCGTGGATGGCGAGGCAAGGTGCGTGATTCATGGATCTAGGTTTATATTCAGGCGCAAGTTATCGGCTCGGGACTCGAGCCGTTGCGACCGGTGACAATCATAGATCACGATCGCAGGTTTTTACGAAACTCGGAGGAACACGAGGTGAGATTCTGTGAATCGATGTCTCGCCAGAGTCGTTAGACAGTAGATTGATCGGCTTAAGTGGATTCGACTTTCAAATCTCGCCTGAAACGCAGCTTCTTTCCCTGCCCGTAGAAATCGATCTGTCACTTTTTTACGGGCCGAAGAGATTGAAAAAAAAAAAAAAAAAAAGAGACGTAGAAATTGTACTTGCGTCGCCTCGTGCCGCCTTTGTCGAGTCACGTGACGACGTTTCCCGTCGTTCGGGGGATTATTCTGACGAAATCGTTCGTGGTTGTGAAACACATTCAGAAAATTGCGGATCCACGCGCAGCCTATGGTCTTGGAATATTCGATTTCAGAACCGTTTCTTTAATACGCAGAGTGTCACAGTGGAAGAAGCTTGTACGTAGCCAGACACGTTTTACATTGTTTTTTAAGTCAACAATCGTGGAAAATTTCCTGTTTCGTTAATAGAGGTTGTTGGTCTTGTTTGAAATTATACGAAAATACTAATTTTACTTCCGTCGATATGAAATAAATCCCTAAAAACAAATCCCGTTCATTTTCCGTACCCCGTTTCAGCCTCGACGCTGAAGTAGGCGTCCGTGTCGAGGAAAACGGAACCAGAGACGGCCCGAGGTGAGGGAAATCGTGACGTAGGGGACCGTCGTGTCTCATGAAAGGGAGTAAATGGTTGCACCCACGAGATCGACGGCGGATAAATTCTACGAGAGAGTCGGTTACCGGTAACCGTGCTGGCGTACACGTAACCGTCGAGGTTGCCCCCGAGCAGAAGGACGAAAACGGCACGGAGAAAGGGAACGCAAGAGGAACTGGGTCCGTCGTGTGCATCCAGACCGATTCGGGCGGTCAGACGAACGTAGCCGTAAAAAAAGGGTCCAGTGGAGGGGATGGGGAGAGGCCCCAGTCGCGATTATTTTGGGTCCGAGAGGATCGTTCTGCGGACCCCACGCTTTCGGGCGGGGGACCTTTCCCTTTCACTCGAAATCTTGCTCGGCTAGGGTCTCGAACACGAGCAGATGGGACCGAGCAATGATGTGACAGACATATTGTAATTAGGACATTTTATGCAGTGTCGCGATGGTATGCAAATCACACGGTAGAAAATGAGTTCGTATGAATTCCCAGGCGGGCTTTTCGAACGAGTTACGTCAGAATTTCCGTGTGAAGATCACTTTCGTGAAAGATTGGACGGTTGCGATTTTATGGATGAATTTCAGGTGTTTCTTGTGCTTGCTGTCGTGTTTTTTTTTGGGATGCCTGTGCAGTTTTGTACAGGCAGCAAGAAGGAACGAAGAATTCTATTTTTTGTTTTTTGGGAAGATTTTCCTTGAAGATATTGCGGTCTGTACAACGGATGAATACGTAGCTTCCTATTTTTGACCTTTACATCGCTGCTGGTGGATAGTCTGACCTGAATTTTTCGACAACTGGGACTGAATAATTCACAATGTCCGGTGGAATCCAAAAATATCTGGCTTTGTGACCGAAATTTTGGATTGCTAATAAATGAATTTTGCGAGGTTAGAACGGTTGATTTAGTGAAGGTACACCCTTCATACCTTCAGACACAGCTCTGATTCCACAAATTTAACTACATCTGTTTTCGTTTAAAATTGTCAATGATTGCACTGCTACTGTGATTTGTATTGAAATCATTAAGTTTCCGTTACGTAATCTTGTTTTACGTTCAATATCACAGAACCAATTATGGTGAATCTAAACCGTCAAACCACAATAATATCCATTATTCTTTTTATTTCTTACACTTGTCGTTAGGTGCATTTAAACATAAATTATCGATTAAATAATCATTAAATTTATATCATCGTATACCTTGTCTATTTGGTTTCGTCTTTATATCCACGTGTCTCTATTTACATAATCCTATTTCAATACCCACTAGTTCTCCAGCATAAAATAAACATTAACATTTACCTTCTACTATGATTTCCAAAGCAAAATGTACCTTGAAATCAGAGACCGTCACAGATCCCCAAGAACACGAGGGTGAAGGACAATCGAGACACACAGTTCATAACCAATCCCAAAAATACTGAATACTCCACCAATACAAAATACCACTGATAGCCATTTAACACTAGAACTACCAAACCAGTCAAAATGACTGGTCAACACACTCTTACACCGACGATTAAAACGTTACGACAATAAATTTTCTCAGATCTTTTGCACCTTTTATTACGACATAAGAGAGTGAAGAAATTAGTTAATTTCTACGTTTCTAAATTTTCCAAAGTTTTCCACGTTTATCGTCGGTAGTTCTAGCGTTAAGGTGTACAACTTATTTCCGACTTTCACTGTATATATCCACGATGAAATCACGACGAAGTAGAGATCATCAGAAAACTCACCATCAGAATCACAGTGTGCCTGGTCCACACACCGGGCAAAAAGGGGTGAAACATCACGCGTCGAACTGAAGAAACGTCGTGCATCGGTTTACCGGTCGGAGTATCCGCATAACAGGCAAGTCAGTCGCGGAACACAGTGGGGATCCGCATGAAGGAAGAAGAAAACGAAACCGTCCGTCCAAGGAGAGGGACGTTTTCGAGTTGGCGTGGGGAGGGGGGGAGGATGGGAGGTAGTAGAAGGAGGAAGAGGAGGAGAGTCCGTGTGCCCCAAAGGGGAGTGGTAGCGGATCGTGGTCGTTCTACGCGAACAAAGAGGTGTAACGTGGGGGGTAAGCGAGTTGGGCCCGGGTGGAGAAGGCGAAAGTATGCTGCGTATATAAGGCGACGAACCGGCGGCAATCAGCATCCAGTTCACTTCTGGACGCACTTGGACTATCTCGAGAGGAAAAATGAGAATCCTGGTACGTGGAAGAACCGTGCTCCTAATTCGTGGTACCGACCGGAAACGATTCAAAGGGGCCCAGTGAGAAGGGCGGGTGGGAAATAGTATCGTGGGTATACCAGACTGGTAAAACATCGGGGACCAGTGAAGGATTATTTATCAGGGAGTGTTTTAGTATCAGAGTACAGTTTTCCGTAACAGGACATCGTTTCAGTTAACGAGGGGGAAAATATCGTTGGTAACGTGTCCGGTTCACCGACTCGCGAGACAGTGTAACAACCGCGTTATAGTTTCGAAACGTCGAGAGGATATTGTATCTGGACCATCGGGATGAAATTGATATCGTTTAATCGTCTGAACCGGTCAAAATCGTACGATACCCCTTTCCCAATCACGGTCTCCGCGAGTCGTTTTCAATTTCGGGGGATCACGACCACGGGTAGCCGTTACTTTCCGTTTAACCGCGTGAAATCTGACGTCCGTGTGGTTTTCCAGGTCTGCACGACGGCGATCGCCCTGCTGGTGTCGGCCGCATGGGCGGAGGAGGTCGAGAAGACAGCTGAGAAAGCGGAGGTCTCGCTGGAGGAGAAGCAAACGTCGAAGAAGCAAGAGAAACGCGGTGTGTTGGGTCTCGGCTACGGTTACAGCTACGACGGCGGCTACGACATCGGGTCCGGTGGACACGGTGGATTGGAATTGGGCGGCGGTTACGGTAACCTGGGCCTGTCAGGTGGTTACGGTGGACATGTTCTGGACCACGGTCATCACGAGCACGTGAAAACCGTGACCGTTGTGAAGAACGTCGCTGTACCGTACCCGGTCGAAAAACACGTGCCCTACCCAGTGGACAAACCCTATCCGGTACCCGTCAAGGTCCCGGTACCGCAACCGTACCCGGTAGAGAAGCCCTATCCGGTCAAGGTTTACGTCAAGGTTCCGGTACACATACCGCAACCGTACCCAGTCGAGAAGAAGGTCCCGTACCCCGTCCACGTACCCGTCGATCGTCCATACCCCGTCAAAGTACTGGTACCGCAACCGTACCCGGTTGAAAAGCACATCCACGTTCCAGTCAAAGTACCAGTGCCACAACCGTACCCGGTAGACAAGCCATACCCAGTGCCAGTCAAGGTTCCGGTTCACGTACCCTATCCGGTAGAGAAGATCGTCCACGTGAAGGTTCCGGTCGACCGTCCGATCCACGTGCCAGTATACAAGCCTTACCCGGTGCATATCGAGAAACCAGTACCCTATCCGGTCGAGAAACAGGTACCTTACCCAGTCAAAGTACCAGTCGACAGACCGTACCCAGTCCCAGTTGAGAAGCCATACCCAGTGCCGGTGAAGGTCCACGTTCCGCAACCGTACCCAGTCGAGAGGCCTGTACCCTATCCAGTTGAGAGGCCCGTACCCGTCGAAGTTAAGGTACCAGTGGACAGACCATACCCGGTTCACATCGAGAAACCAGTACCCTATCCGGTCGAGAAGCCTGTACCCTACCCAGTCAAAGTACCAGTAGCGGTTCCAGTTCATCACGAACAACACGGCTACAGCAACGACTGGCTCGGCAGCCATGGCTACCATTAAGCGACGAAAAATGACCCACGTCGATTCGTGGTCGCCTCTGAACCGGACCAAGGTGACCAGGTGTGATATCGACGATTTTTAGGATAGACCGGAAAAGAACGAATCAATTGGACGTGATCGTGGACGCGCGCCGAGACGAAACACGCCTCTCTTCTTGTACCTGGATCGCGACGGGAAGGGACTTCCGGCGTGGCCCCAAAGACGTTCACGAAAGACCTCCACCGAGGTCGATCGTGCCCCAGAAAACTCAGACATCGGCGCGTGTCCACCGTTAGGTACGAAAGGGAGATACCGATGGGTGTGTGGAGACTGTCTTCGGTGACCTTCGCTCGAAATACAGCTCGCTTATCTCATTTTTTTGTTTTTCTACCGACATAGCAGAATGTGTATTTTTTTATACGAAATATAAATGTTAGTAATGTAAAACAGAGAGAAAGAAGAAGAACGATTAAAATCCCTCGAATCTCCAGTGTTCCCGATCCCGTTTTCATTGATCTCGAACCGATTCCGTTCGACCTTCCATATTCTAGGTTCCTCGACTGTCTCTAACTCGTCACGACTTATTTAACAATTTTCACTTTCATTTTCCGCATACTCGGCGACTCGACGAGCAGCGGGGTCGTTAAACGTTCAATAACGATGTTTATCGTCCGCCGTTCCAGAAACAATTCCACGTTTCACGTGGATCGACGCTACGTCCTTTCGTCTCGCAACCTCGTGGATGCGCCTTCTCGCGTCACGATCGAATGAACGCTTTCCTCCCTCGACCAGGCCCTTCCCCCTTCGTTTAATTGCACTCGTGACGGTGTAATCACACAGCGATCGTGGAAATGGAAAATGAACGGGTTTCTGGCGATTCTGCCGCTGGGAAACTTCCGTCGACGGCATGTGCCTCCACACGGAGATATTGCATCGACACCAGAGATGGGCAAATTCATTGTCTCGATAAAGAGTTTCGAATAACCGATAAAAGATCAAAAATACTCCCTCGCCATTTCCAAATGGTTAAACGTGGAAATTCGAATTTGTATAATATACTAATATATATTTTTCTTTTCAGCAAATAAATATTGACGTTTCACTATGTATTGTTCGAATAAAATTGTACCCAAATCTGATCGACACCATCGAACGGGGCAGCCCAGCCACGACGACCCAGTTCCTCCTGTGCCAAGACATCCCCTTGCCAAATCGATGCTCTTGATCACACCCCTCGCGTCCACGTGCCCTCGTAACTCGCCTCGACGTGCCGGCCCGACAGCTTCGTTGCCTCTTCAACCCAATTCTATTTTCCGCGAAGGCGAATGATGCTCGGAGGATAGGGGATGGCGAAGGATAGTTTTCACGACCGGGTTTTAAAGGGAGACGGGATTTGCGAGCGGGTCTAGCGATAATAGAGACGTCGTTTCAGTAATCTTTAATACTACGTTTATTCTTCGTACCATAGGTGTAATTTAGATTCCATCCCTTTATCGGTGTATGGCATCACACTTTACAGAATTTAATCATATATTTTCGATATAATAGACGATAGTGGCATATCCCCCTGGGGTTGTACTGACTGTTAAATTTTGTGTGAAAGCTTCCAGAACCGATGTTCTTCGTCTACTTTCTAGGAAAATTGAAGCTAACATATTTATTAAAGAGACAACAGCTGAAGATCCTTCTTCGAAAAACTATAGTGGATGTCTCTATAGGGCTGTTCTAATTATTAAATTTTCTATCAAACCTTCCAGAACCAATGTTCTTCGTCAATATTCTAGCGAAATCTAAGGGAAACATTTATCAAAGAGAAAACAAACTATAATTGACGTCTCTATGGGGTTGATCCAACTCTTAAATTCTCCGTGAAACCTTCAAGAACCGATGTTCTTCACCACTTTCCAGCGAAGTCGAAGATAGGCAACAGCCCAGGCCTCCGGAACATCGAAGGATCCACCGGAAACTTAAGCAACAGCCTAGGAAGAACCTTCAATTACCTTCATTGCGGTGTTCGTTAAACAACCACGTGTCGTGGATGCTTCTCGATTTCCAATTCGTAAGGAATCGCGGTACAGAAACTTGCCTAACGACGGAAAAATTGGAAACTCGAAACGGAACTTCGACGATGGATCTGGAAAGGATTAATTAACACGACGGGTCAGAGCATTAGGCGTCTGTGTGTGTCGACTTCGATTGACTTTGTTAGCTACGTCGCCGGAAGGCGGCGAAGCGTGTCGGAGAGATCGCGTCTTCTAAAGTGTAATTCGTCCACGGTAAAGTTCCGCGCTTCGACCCACTTCGGGGCCGTGCCTCAGGCCAGCCACTTGACTCACGAACAACGACTTACGTGCCTGTCCATTGGACGACGAGCCCGGTCGTTACACAATCCAGGGGCCCGTTGCCGCACGCGACTCTCGAAGCTGAAAGTGAAGGAGAGAAAGAGAGAGAGAGAGAGAGACCGCCGATGAAATGACCGTTCCGAGGCTCGCGATTTTGATCCCTTTCCCTTTTTTTACCCGTGATTTTCTGATCGATCAATTAACGTTTCTCACTCTGTTCTACTACACTGGTGATTGGATCAACTGACTGTGACCGAGAACTTGGAATATTAAATGTGTAGATGGTAGAAAAGTTCTCGAGGGGTCTGTGATTTTCTTGTAATTTTTATGTTTTTTCGGATGGTATTTTATGTACGGTATTTATGATGGAGGATACCTTTAGTTACGATTTGTGACACATGACGCCTTGAAGATTATTCTATTTACGGTTATTTTTGGACTGAGGCGTCTTTAAGCCGTCTTCAAGGCGTCATGTGCTATGGGGAATGTGAATACAATGAGTACTTAGAAGGGACAGTGAATATATTGTATAGAAAAGATTTTGTTCTATAAAAGGAGCTTGTTTGAATTTCATTCGAGAATACGGTAAATCATCGATGAGTGTTTGAAGGCTTTTCGGGATTGATAATTAAATATTTCATAAACTAATGACCATTTACGGTTAAAAGAAATATCATTGGTGTCAGAATTCCAAACGCTATCACTGTGTCAAACCTCAGTAAAAAGCCAGCGTTGAACACTCATCGATAATTTACTGTATAAGAATTTTTGAAAAAATCTAACGCACATTTGTATTCGAATCCTTTGGCGCCGTTTCTACGGACTGGTGAGTACTTTCGCGAACCCTTTCACTCGACGCGAGTCGGTAAAACGGTTGTACGAACTTTTCAGCTGCTGGTATAAGCAACAGAAACTCAATCAGAACTTCGTCACTTAAAAAAATTGTATAAATTAAATCTTTCAGCGGTCTGTCAATAGATACTGATGGGATAAATTTATTCAATATAGTGTTCACACCTTATTTCCCCTAAATAACGATGATAACGTCATTAAGTAATCAAACGAGAGTAATCTACTGTGGGAAAACGTATCGATCGTAGTGCGTACCACGTTCGAACGACCTGGAATGAGGCTCAATATACGACAAATCACGTAATGAGAGGTCAATTTGGGTTAGATGGCGTCGAGGCGGGAATTTGTTAAAATTTTGTTAACAAAATTAATCTTCCCAAGTGCATAATCTCCGTAATGACTTTGTTTGGAGAGAACGTGTAATCTTCGATGCTGCGTGAAAAAGTCGATTAGCGTGCACGCTTCGAAAGCGAGGACTGGATAGCGTGTTAAAGACGGTGGAACGAATGGGACCCGTTTAATTATGCGGCATTTCCATAATCAGTATCGCTGATTGGCTATCTAGGGGCGCATCTGATACGCATCGCGTGTCTGCACGCCACTTCGAAACTAATACTCGATTAAACGGGAACAAATGGACCGGGTATCTCGTGTTCCCCGAGAAAATCAATCTTATCGATCGGCAGGAGAAAGAATTCTTCTGTTTGAAGTGTAAAAATTAAATCTGGAGACAGGTCAAGTGAAAGATAATAAAAGAAAATAATTACGAAATTTAGAAGGTTCTTCACTATAATTTGAGTATATATAATTGTGAAAGAAATTACTCTCTCTTAGATTATAGCTCTAGGTTGCTAATGCAACGGTTAATTCCGTGTGGATTTAAATATCTCTCGTTCGAGGAAAAAAGAGTAATTGAAAACAAACGGGATTAAATATTCACGGTTCGTAATTATCGCGTGTCCGCCGTGAAATCCGAGTAAAACGCTCTTTATTAATGCGAGATCTTTGTTTTCTCTGCGTTCTCGATTAAGTCCGTACTGTTACGTCCGTTACTACTGACTGTCCATCGTTTTCCCGCGTTTACGATTGCAACCGCGACACAGTTTCCGTCTGCATAGTCCACGACCGTGAAAGTCCTCCTCTGTTTCTGCACAGTTTCCGGAACACTGTCACCATCGTTCTCCACTGCACTCGTACAGTGTCAGATAGATTTATTGCGTTATAATATTAAACACGTTGTTACTTATCTCATCATTAGCACTAGGAACGTTAATTAAAAGAAATATTTATTGGAAAAATGACTAGCTGACTATCTTGGCCAAAATAAATTGAATATTATAACTAGACTGCGGATGTTTATGCATTTATAGCGTCCCCTGACTTGCAAAACAGGAAAATAAGGATTCTAGTAAAATGTAATATCATCCTTGCAATATTATTAACATATTAAAACCTATAGTATAGCAAATAAACTTCTCTGCAAATCCTGTTTCTTTTCCTGTACATATTAGTGTCCAAAATTGTAAATTTGCATAAACATCCACAGTCTTATATTATAAAATTATACAAAATAGTATACAAAATCTCGTAAGTTTGATTAATTGGTGCGTTCACCTACTATAGTAGATAAGGTTTCACAATCTATACCATTGCTATGTTAAAAATCGGACACAAAGAGCAAAATCCCTGCGAAGGAGATTTTTGTTCCATTTATTTCGTCGTGAAACTATTTAATAAAAAACACGTTAAATCGAACATTTCCATTTTTAACGAAGCCGCCATTGGCGACGTAGGAAACTATGTCGAATTTTAACCAACCTACCCCACCCCATTCCACTTTCGCCTAGAAACCGTGCAGAACAGGCCAGAGATTCGCGTTACTCCGCTGGAACGCACTCGATCTCCGTTATTTTTCGCTTTCGATTTGTGCGTGACTCGCATCATGATCACCCGCCTGCCCTCCAGCATTCCCCACAACGTTTTTCAAGGTCACCGCTACCAGCAAGAAAAACTGGGACTGAGAAGTGTCGTGAAAGACAGCCGAGGGGATCCCCACGCGGAATCGGGTCCATTTCAGTGAAATGTCACGCCCTTTAGCGGTTTGTCGATCGAACGGGGACAGGCGCAATTCCTCCCAAGGTGGAGGACATTATCTGGAATAGTTTCACTGTCGATGGCCGTGTGCGAGACGCGCGAAAGCGATCGTCCCCCCGTTGGAAAAGCCCATCGATGCACGCAGTCTGCGGATCGGCATCGTGAAACGCGTATATAAAGGCTAGACAGTCCACGGTACTGATTTACTTTCTTCCAGTTTAGATCACCAGACGTCACTAAATTCCACAAAATCGGATCTAACGATCCTGAGCACTCGTGAGATCGTTTTATTGCCCCTTTTAGGATGGGTTACACGGTACGTTTCTTCTGTGAGTGACGACGAACGGTTTTTGCGCGGAAGAATTGGGTTCAAGTGATCGTAGGCTATGTGACAGTGGTATATTTTTTATTCTCCCGTTGATGAATGGATCTAGTTCGTTTTGTGAAATATTCCGGCCTGATAATAAATGAACGAGTTAATTTAATCACACTGTGCAATATGGTGTCTGTAATTTTTCTATTTAAAGATGATCGTAACTGTTGCAGAGTATCACCGTGGTGATCTTGTTACTCGTCCTCGCAACGTCATCGAGTTTTCCAGTCGAGAAAAATGGTAACCAGACCGTCATTTCGAGGACGGAGAAGTCTCTTGATCGAGAACGAACCGTTCGGGCATCGAACGAAAAGACGAACAGCATGTTACAGAGGAGCTCTAGGGGCTCAGTGAGATTCGCAAGAAAACGCTGTACGTAAATTAAAATAAGAATTTACAGTCCCTTTATTTTTAGAAGAGATTCAACCGATTATACTAATTACAGACGAACCATATCACGAGTCCCAGGAGGCAGTCCACTATAGTACTGACTACCTGGAGGGTAAAGCTCCGGAAACCGAACACTTCAGCGAAGTGGAAAGCCACCACGGAGGAGAGGCATATCTATCGGACCACGACAGTGGCGTACCAGACGACGTTCCCCACGAGGGACAGGTTCTGGGTCACCACGTGCACGAGGACGTGCACAAAATGGTGACCATAGTGAAGAAAGTAGCGGTACCTTATCCAGTCATCAAGAACATTCCCTATCCTGTCGTGAAAAATATTCCGTACCCGGTTAAAGTACCGGTACCACAACCTTACCCGGTGGAGAAGAAAGTACCGTACCCGGTGAAGGTTTTCGTGAAGGTGCCCTTGAAAATTCCGAAACCGGTTGCGGTGATCAAAGAAGTACCGTACCCGGTCCAGGTTCCCGTGGATCGTCCGGTACCGGTCAAGATTTACGTACCGGACCCGTATCCGGTCGAGAAAAAGGTTCACTACGAGGTAAAGGTTCCAGTGCCTGAACCGTTCCCTATCGAGCGTAGGATACCGGTACCCGTTAAAGTACCCGTGCACGTATCTCAACCGTACCCGGTCGAGAAGTTGGTCCATTACCCTGTTAAAATCGAAGTGGAACGACCGATACCCGTACCAGTACCTAAACCGTACCCGGTACCGGTATCAAAACCTGTACCGTACCCGGTCGAGAATCCTGTACCCGTGCCCGTGAAGGTTGAAGTACCTCGGCCGGTACCTGTACCGGTAGACAAACCGGTTCCCGTCAAGGTAAAGGTCCCTGTACCCGCTCCCTATCCCGTGGAGAAAGAAGTACCGTACCCTGTCGAGAGACCTGTACCCGTACCGGTGAAGATACCGATTGACAGACCGATACCCGTCCACGTGGCCAGACCGGTCGCCTACCCTGTCGAGAAGCCTGTCCCTTACCCTATCAAAGTATCCGTCCCGCTGCAGACTCACGACGAACCGATCGAGCCTGGAACGTACGAGCATCATGATTGGGCGCAATGATCTGTCCCGATCCGATCACAAAATGTTGCTAATAATTTTTAGTTATGTTCGAATTGATATCAAAAGTTTCATCGTTGCGATGACTAGGTTAGGAGGTATAATTAACCGTGCGTCACCGGCACGCAGAAGTCTTCTGTTTCTCTCAATTTTTTTTTTACCCGAAAAATGTTATTTTTTATCTTTATTATCTAATATTAGGAGTAGAATATTATTGAATTGAAAGATAAGCAATTAGCCTGCTGCTGCCATTTAAAATTACGAAAAAAGAATTGACCCGTGTCTGAATTGTAGGGGTTGCTTGGGTGAAATAATAATTTGATTTCATTAGGTTTAAATTTCTCGTTATTACGTTTAGGAATAATCTATTTGTAAATGTTTCATTGATACACAGCGATAAGTACCTTTGTGAGAAGATTAAAAAGCGCGGTGGTCAGTGGGTTAATAACGTTGCACTGTAAAATGTTAATTCGCGATCGCTGAGTTTGTTATTGTTGTTCGCAGCGATCATTAATGACAGTATTCATAGTTATCTGTTCTGTGTTATGTATAATAAGTGATACAAAATCCTTCTAATTGACCCGAAGATATTACAAGTGAAATCACAGATTTAAAGACACTTTTAGGTATATTTTTAATCGTAAGACGTTCGTTTCGCGTTCCAATTTATTTCGTACGAGCGTAAAGAAGCTAGTAACGCCACCTTTATCGCGTCGGAACTCACGAGTGAAATGCATTTCTCCGGAGAGCTGCAGGAAATTGTTGCTCGTATCGACGGCGCAGTTTCTTGTTCTAGTGTGGCCGTATGCCGCGAGAGGTTGTACAATGCAAAAATAAATGCGTTTTATAGGAATCGAATAAAAACACTTCTGCCTAATTTACATCGAAGCTGCAGAGTGGACGATAATTGTTCTCTACCTTTCGATCAAGCAAACTTAATTTCAATTTGCTTCAAGTCTACTAACACAAGTGAGTGCTGGAAACGAGAACTTCCTGGAATGTGCAATTTAGATCGACGACACAAGACATTTTCTCCGTTAAAGCGTAGCGAAATCTAGGATTCGGTCTCATGCCAGTCACGTTTCTCTTCGTCCCGATGTAATTGCATCCGCGACAGATCGTGCCGTAATTGATTCTCGGGCAAAACAAACGGATAGCGACGTGTCTTCCAACCTTGATCCTGACTTTCTACATAATCTGTTCTAACTTTCAATAGATAAAATTCAGGACAGTGGTGGGCTGTGTCGTCTGAATAATCGACAACGATTCCGTAATAATATTCGAAAAATAAATATAAATTTATAAAGTTACTTTTGAATAAATATAAACTTATATAGAATTGTTGACCGTCGTTTAATATTTTATTCGGACGACAAATTTGTCCGTCTGTAACGCAAAACGATATTCTGAAACGTTCCGAGGCCGACGACACTGCTTATCCACGCGTTAAAATCACTGGAGCCCGGCGACACCGCTTAGCCACGCATTGAAATCACCGAGCTCTCGACAGTGGCGCTTGTCCGCGCATTGAAATCACCGAGAATCGTATCCACTAATATCACGTTCTGGCTTTTATTTCGTGGAAACTAACCACGGTGTCGCTCCGACGTTTTCTTCTATGTCTCTTGTCATATTTACAGAAAATTGTCACAGTATCAATTTTGCTATTTAAACACAATTTAAAGAGATATCATTTATTTACGAAATCACTGCAGCACCACCGAGCATTAAAGAAGATAAACGATTTCACTTCAATTCAATTAAGTTTCTAGACTTTCTGTCTTCAGTTTTCAAAATTATTACCATTTCATAAATATAAAAGACAGTCCCTACGGTTTTTTAAAACTTCAGAAGATTATACATTCTATGAGCTCGTGGGAAAACCTGATTGTTCAACATTTTTCTCCTGGAAACCATGTTGCTGCGTTATAAACAGAAACCAGTAAACTGTGCTACAACGGTTTCTAATTCCATTGACAAAGCACAGGAGGAAAGTGATGCGGTTGAAAATGGTAAAACGGTCAGAGGGAACTTTTATACCGGTTTCAGTTTCGCTGGACTTGCGCGAGAAACTCGATGGGCATGTGTGACCGACGAAGAACTGGAAGTAACGAGAGGATGTGAGGAGACTGGACAAACAATGTTGCTGGTGTATAAGTTTATAGCCCAGGAAATGCGTATTTGTTGCAGAGAGGACAGTTGCGAAAATGGTAATTCACGTCCGACATGATCGTTCCGTTACCGTTTCCGCGAAAGAACTTCGAAATTCTCTCGAACAAACGTTTTTCTGTAAAAAAAAAAACAAAAAACAAAAGTGCCTTTTTGGTGGTAGAAGTTTGCTCGGTTTTACGATTGCCTGAGGAAAGTGGCCGGTCGCTTTCATCTGTCAAACGTAAATAGCGTCGCCATTCGGACAGGCTTTTCATGAAATTAATGAGCTAGAACCAAGCAGTAACTATTTGGTTTCCTCGTAAATGCGCTTTTACATGGTCGTTCGTCGATTTCTTGGGTTCATGAACAACTCGAGTTCGCCGAAACTTCACAGAATTCTTCCCTTTTTCTCTGAATACCGTGTCGAAATATTCAGTTCGTCGATCCAGGTCTAATTTTACTAATTATTACCACGAAGCAAAATTTTTGTAATGATTTACAAACCAGAATGAAGATTCTAATCAATTCAGACGGAAATCAATTAATCGTTCAATCTATCAGATTTTACAGCGAGTCATCGCAGTATCGATGTTACCTGGATCGATCGATCTATTCCCGTTAAATCTCGATTGCTGAACCAGAACAGTAAGTCCTTTCGGGGCAATAATTCGACGGGTCTGGGCGTCGTTAATATTTTTCTCGCCGTTTTACGAGCCGAATAATGAATGCCTGCACGATCCCCGTCGCTTCCGCGGCGCGCAAACTCTAAACCAATTTCCTTAAAAAAACAATAGCCGATCGTTTAACCGTGGATAATTGTCGCAAAACAAGGCGGCGTACACGCCTATAAAGATCGAAGCTGGTCAGACAGGCGAAAGTCGTTCACGGTATATAAATAATACCGGAGCACCAATCCGTTTGGATTCAGTGCATCTTGATCCATCGTCTCAGCTAGAAACGTCTCGTCATGGGACGCCTGGTTAGTATCTCCACCTATCTCACTTATAAACTCTTAAACTAGATCCTCTGTTTTCTTTCTCCTAGCGAACTGTGTCCATAACTTTTCATCTCATTAATATTTCCACCCTCCTCTGTCAATCAGCAGCAAAGAATCGTCACGTTCCTGTGCCTCTCGATTGTCCTAACATGTTCAGCGACTCGTCGAGAGGACCTCGAAAGGGCCGCCGAGCTGGCAGTGGAAAAGGCAGCGGAAAGAGCGGCCGAGAGGGCAGTGGAGAAGGCTCTGGAAAGCGGAAACACCACCTCGGAAACGAAAACAACTCGTGAGACCTATTCCAGCGTTATAAAACCACCTCAACGCGAGGATTCCGGATACAACGAAAAATTCAACGGTCCTCATTCCTCCAAAGACGAGGATGCTGATCAAGAAGACGATACCGATGGTTGGAAGCGACCAGCGAGAAAACACACATCGAGACCACGATTTGGTTGGTCGAGCAAGATGGACGAGGATTGGAGACGATTTCCCAGAAGCGATTTACCAGCATTGGAGCCGAGTACTACGTGGACCAAGCCGAAAGTGATCACGATCGAGAAGACGATTCCTGTACCGGTCACCGTCGAGAAGAAAATACCATATCCTGTTTACAACCACGTGCCCTACGAGGTCAAGGTCCCGGTACCTCAGCCGTACACAGTGGAGAAAAAGATACCTTATCCGGTGAAGGTGTTCGTGAACGTACCGGTGGAAGTGCCCCAGCCCTACACGGTGGAGAAACAGGTGCCGTACGAGGTGAAGGTCGATCGACCGGTACCGTACAAAGTCGAGGTGCCGGTCCCGCAGCCGTACACCGTCGAGAAGAAGATACCGGTGGAGGTGAAGGTGCCGGTACCGCAACCGTACATGGTCGACAAATCAGTGCCCTATGAGGTGAAGGTACCGGTCGAGGTACCAGAACCGTACGAAGTCGAGAAACATGTGCCTGTACCGGTCAAGGTTCTCGTGGACCGGCCTTACCCTGTTCCGGTACCGAAACCGTATCCTGTGGAGGTTAACAAGCCTTATCCAGTACACGTGCCTAAACCTTATCCCGTGAAGGTTAAAGTACCAGTCGATACACCTTATCCTGTACCCGTGCAAAAGCTTGTACCGATCCCAGTGAGGGTACCCGCGCCTGAACCCTACACCGTGGAGAGACCTGTCGAGGTAGAAGTGAGGAAACCGTACGGTGTACCGGTCAAAGTCCCAGTGGACAGACCGTACGAAGTTTACGTGGCGAAGCCTGTACCGGTGCCTGTGGAGAAACCGTTCCCCTATTGGGTACAGGAGCCAGTATTCGTGAATTCGGATTGGAACGAAACTGGACCGCAAGGATTTCACGACAGGAACGGGTCGAGTGAAACGATGAAGGACAGCGATAGGTCCAGGAAGTCGAGCAGACCGAAGAGAAGGTTCCGTCACTGAACGAAGGGTTTATGTTTGTTAGAGACTGTATTGGTGGATTCTGTGGAGGATTATTTATTTCGAGTGCATTCCGGCGATTCATCGGCGTATCGCGAGGGATTCTTCTCCCGATTTAGTTTAGTTATGACAAGGGTACGTTTATGTTGGAGCTAAGATAGAAGCTGTTTGAGAATATTTTTCTTTGGTTTGGTTATAGTGGAGCTGTGATAATAGTATAATTTCAGGCGTTCGAGGTTTCGCAAAGATGAAGGATTTAAACATTGGTGGTAATGAAGAAGAAGAATTATCTTCAAGTTCTGCGAAATGGTACATTGAAGAAAGTCTACGTGGTAAATGTAAATATTGTGTGCATTCCATTAATACTAAAATATATGAACTTGGAGAGTTTCATCATTTATATAATGACCTAAGAAAACATCCTAAAAATTTTTTTGAATACACGAGAATGAGAATACAGAAGAATATTTTATCAAAACAAAAAAGGGGTGCAATTGCCATACAAATCCAATTCTTTATGAAACAACAACCCTATTGTAAGTACTACTTAAAATCCACTAAAATTAAAACCATGCGTTCATCACAATAATAATAATAAATAATTAAATTAATATTAATTAATCAATATTACCTTCTTTTAATTTGATTATGTACGAACGAGTAGAATGGCGACAAAAGTACTATCTATTTTTTCCTGTTACAATTTTGTTTTTTTTTTCGTTTAATTTTTTTCCACTCTGATCGTTTATCGCAGCTCCAACATAAACGTACCCCAAGAAAAGTATAGTTGCATCGATGAGCTCTTGATTGTTAATCGCGTGGCGATAAAAATAAAAGTGTATCGTGCACAATCCTTTTTTCTAACCTGATCTGCCAACTTCCTTCGTTTTTTTTTTTTTTATTAACTCGATTGCATGCGTTTCCCGCGAGCGTGTGTATTATATATGTGCACTTGGATCTCGTTTCTTCTGTTTTCCGCGGGAATTGATCGCGAGGAAGTGCTCGCCGACGGGAATTAGCATCCTGATCAGGAATTCTTCACGCGTTCCGGCCCGCGTACGCAACGGAATACGGAATGCGCGAGCGAGCGATAAAATGTAAAATCGGGCAGAGTTCGGCTTTCTCTGATCTCGAGACGAGCAACAAGTGCGCGCTGGGAGGATTATCCGACGATCGACTATCACAATATCCCCACTCCCTACGTTTAATTCACCTTATGGCGGCAGATACTCTCCTTCCGGTCTTACAAAATGATTTAATCCTTTAACGTCCAGTGTTGCATCGGTGCAACGCTCATTTTAAAACTGCGTCGAATTCGGTCACCAGTTAATAGTTAATTATTGTCAGCACGGATGATAGATCTCCACGTTTTCAGTTGAGAAATTCAAGTTTTTCTACTAAAAATAATTTTCGTTTTGAATAAATTCGATTTAATATCGATATTTTGTACTTATATCAATAATTTTCTGATGACGATTTAATTGTCTGGGCGTTAAAGGTTAAAACAGTTCGAGTAAGCATGCATCGCGATGGTTTCCTGTGTAAAGTGACTGTTTCACGATGGAAGTCAGATTCATGAGGAGACGACAGACTTGTCTTGCGTTTATAAATTGCAACGTTTTGCGTGAACCTCCTATTGTTTTATTATTTATTGGCAGGAAGACGATAGGGAGATCCGGAGTTTTTTCTTGATTCCCGATACCGATTGAAATATCACGAACCTCGCGAGGAATGATCGCTACTGTACTCTCACTGTCTGTAACGCTACTTTCTCACGTTCAATAAATCTAACAGGAACATGTATGTAATAATCCTAATAACAAGATGTAGTGGATTCTGAACAGAAATTCCTGGAGTTACTCTGTGATTTGTTATCAATTTCATGTTTCGATCTACTCAGTGTTACTTGTATAGATGGTCCTCCATGTTAGCCAGTAATTACATTTCCAAAAGAAATCGATGAGAATCGTAGATTTTTCGACGAGCTTTCCCCCGTATACCTACGAATTACCACGATCTCGTATCAAGAATGAATATTCTTGAGATGAAAATGTATGGAATTTTGCAGCAAGAGGCTCCGATGTTAAGTCACGTCCCCACATGTAAATATTACAAGATAGTAACCCATTAAACCGACGATTTTTCGACTAATAATTCCCGTAAAAATACAATTACGGAGGAATAAAAACAATTTGAAATGAAATTTCTCTTTCCTGGTCAACAGGTTAAATAACGTTTAAACCCTTCACTTTTTCGTAAGCTTCACTACAGAGATTCCTTGTACATTTTCCGGGCGCACTTTCACAATGCTTGAAAAATTCATCATTCGAAACATTAACCCTTTAACTACGAAAGGCGTATACAGGGTGGACCACGAAACGTGATCAGCTTAGATTATTCTACTGTTATCTACTCAATCGAAAATTTTAAATACAGTCACTCCCAAGATTGTCCACAAAAGCCTGTAACCCCTATATGACCGAACTATTTGCCAAAATCCGAATTTTATTTCAAAATTCAGAGAAAAATGATGATAAATATTACGTTAAGAAGAATATTTAAATAGAACTTGCATAAGACTACTGCCCACCTAATTGTTATTTCAGAAGTGTGTGTGCCGAAGATTCAGAGAAATATCGATTAGCCCGCACGTTTATTGATCGACTAGGAACGACGCTTAATCAGCACGGAATTCATCGACGCGTTGCGGCGGATCTACGCGATCGATCTCGAGCGTGTTTTTCATCCAACACGGCAGATCGTATTATCCAGTGTGTCCCCCCTCCCCACTCAGTCCTAGCTCTCCCTCTTTCACCGGTTTTCATTTTCTTCTACCCTCCCACCAAGGCCTCTTCCTTCCTCTCGTTCTCTTCGTTCGACCAAAGGACTCGGTCGCGGAAGGGAGGACTCGGTGGCCTGGGGACTGGAAACCTCTAAGTCACGTGCCCGTATCCTTCCGTGGGGACCGGATACGGAGGGGGCAGTAGTCCTGGCGTGAAGCTTGAGAGATACAGAATGCGTCATAGGGGAGAGAAAGAGAGAGAAAGAAGAGCCCCAGGGCCCTGGACACGCAGGATGGAGAGGCGAACACGAATTTGCGTGTGGCCATTGGCGTAGAATTTTCAGATAAATCTCGTCTTACTGCGATTTCTCACATAACGGCGATGATGATGACCTTCCCCTCCTCTGTCCAATCACTCGAATTGCAGAATAAAATATTCGATGAATGTTGCTTAGTATGGGCAAATATAGAATTTTAAAAATTGATTTTTTTTTTAAACTGGACGCGAGGAAAACTTTTCTTACCCTGTTAAGGGTACCGGTAGGTGCGAAATAGAAAGTGAACCGGAATAAATCTTCCCAACCGTTTTACTATATTCAATTCTAGACGATGGAATATTGTATAAATGTATTGAATCCGCCTTGATTACGATAGAATTTGTTGAAGTTATTACTGCTTAGCTTGGATGAATCGTTAGGTCGATATCGTTACCGAATCGACAATTTGTAGACAACGACTTTACACCACGATGATTTCGTTTCGTAGAGATAGAAACGAAGGATACGGTGCTGCATCTTCATACACGCGGATTATTGATGTTGGCACTAGATTAGAATGAATTTCTCTTATTTTCATGCATCTGGGTTTCAGCAGTTGCTTGTACAGATGGCATTGATTGATTAGCTAAGCAATTGTACAAGTATCCAGCGAATAAAAATCGTCGTACGCGTAAATATATCCACGGGCTTCCGCGGTGTTCCTTTCACCCTGGAAGAGGATCCGGGCGTCTACGCCATTGCGCACGGTTATGGAACCAGCAGCATGGTGGCCACCCAAGATTCAGAAAAATTTTATAACGTCGCGCTTGTCGATCGAGAGGCCGCTCGCGCGCCGCCGCCGAACCGCTCGGCGCGTGTTTCACTTTTCCGCGAACGTACACACAAGGGGGGTCCTCGCTCGCTCACTCGCTCGCGTCACGATGCACACGACTGGGGGAAAGCGGACTATAAAGTCGGTGGCATCTTGGGGGGAAGTATCCAGTAAAGTCTGGACTTCGACCAGATATCGGAGTGCCGCTGAGACATGAGAATTTTGGTGAGTACGGATACACACAGAGATCCTGAGACCGATAGGGGAAGGTTCGTAACTTTGGACCATCGTTTAGGATTGACAGCTACTGTAACTCTTCGAGTGTAAACAATTTGGGCCTTATGGTGGACAATATGTGTACGATAGTGGTGATTCCATTAACTAACTCGGTAGTTACACGTAACAAATATTCTCTATCTAAGACCCAAATTAGATGACAAGTTATAGTAGTGTCTAATCCAGCTCGACAACCTTCAGGTTCAACTCGCGTTTGAAAATTCCCCGTTTTTAAAGTTCCCTAACAGAAAAACTGAATTTTTATTCCGACCGTTTCCAGATCCCCACGTTATTCCTGGGCCTGTTGGCCGCAGGACACTGCGATGAGAAGACCGCAAAGCCGGTCGAGGCTAAAGAGTCCACGGTCGAGAAGAAGCAGGACAAACGTGGTCTCAGTGGCCTCGAGGGAAGCTACAATGGCGGTGACATCGGTGGCGGTGACGGCGGTGGACACGAATTGTCCCTATCCGGCGGCGGTGGTGATTACTCGTCCGGTTACGGTGGCGGTGAATACGCCTCTGGTTACGGCGGCGGTGGCTACGGTGGCGGTGGCGGCGGTGGCTACGACGAGGGCGGCAAAGTCAAAGAGATCACGATAGTGAAGAGCGTCAAGGTGCCGTATCCAGTCGAGAAGAAAGTCCATTACCCAGTGGAGAAAGAGGTACCCTATCCGGTAAAAGTTCCCGTGCCGCAGCCGTACCCAGTCGAAAAGAAGATCCCAGTACCCGTGAAAGTACTCGTCAAGATACCCGTGCACATACCGCAACCGTACCCAGTGGAGAAGAAGATCCCGTACCCGGTACAAATACCGGTAGAGAGACCGGTACCGTACAAAGTTTACATCCCGCAACCGTACCCGGTCGAGAAGAAGGTCCCGTATCCCGTGAAGGTACCCGTCCCTCAACCGTACCCGGTGGAGAAGCCAGTACCATATCCAGTGAAGGTCATCGAGCACGTACCCCAACCGTTCCCAGTCGATAAACCGGCACCGTACCCGGTGCACGTGACCGTCGATCGACCGTACCCGGTCCACATATCAAAACCGTACCCGGTTCCGGTCGAGAAACCTGTACCAGTGCCGGTCGAGAAGGTTGTACCGTATCCAGTGAAGGTCCACGTCGATCGACCGGTAGGTGTACCCGTGGAGAAGCCAGTACCGGTCGAAGTCAAGGTACCGGTACCCGCTCCGTACCCGGTGGAAAAACACGTACCCTATCCGGTCGAGAAGCCTGTACCGTACGCGGTTAAGATACCCGTTGAACGACCCGTTGCGGTGTCGGTCGCGAAACCGGTACCGGTGGAGGTAGCGAAACCGGTGCCGTACCCGGTCAAAGTACCCGTAGCTGTACACCATCATGACGGTGGATACGGCGGTGGCGGTGGATATGGCGGTGGCGGTGGATACGGCGGTGGCGGTGGATTCGGCGGTTCGGATGGCGGGTACGGCGGTTCCGACGGCGGTTACGGCGGTTCTGACGGCGGTTCTGAAGGCGGATCGGAAGGCGGGTACGAGTCCTACGGTGGTCACTCGTACTAGAGCTGCGAGAGAGCTTTGCGACCGGCGCCTGGACGGGTGTACCCGACTGTGCTGGGTTCACGTGTCGGTATCACTGGTCCCCTCTGATGCGACGATGGGGAGTGTATTTATTGCATGATAGTTTTTTTTTGTTTTTTTTTTTTGTTTCGATGTCGCTGTACTGGGAACCGGGTGATAGATATTCAAAAGCAGGCGCTGGTACTTTATATTTAAACAAAAAAAAAAAAAAAGCATGGTTCTTCCGGTCGGCGAATTAGATTGTAGTGTTTTTCATACATTTTGATACCTGAGTACCTAAGTAAAATACGTATTGTATAATACACGTATTGTACGAGAAGATACTGCGTACCGTTCGTGCCGCGACGAACACAAACTGTACCTTTGTCTTCAGCTTCTTTTTAATAAAACCAAAGAGCAAAATCCAGAACGCACGTTCGTTTTTCTGTGTTACATCGACTGTCCTAATCCCGTCCTGTCGTTGAATATACAGGTGAAAATCGTGTTAGGCACAAAATAGTCCGTAATTCGTTTCCCTAGTTGTTCCTATTCAGACGATCTTCTGCTCCAAATCGAATCAAGGACGTGATCCAGCGATTTCGTCTGTTTCGTAATGTTTACCTTCGGCAAGGGAACATCGAGTTCGGCCCGTTACACGCGGAACACGCGATAACATCTTCGATTCCACTTTCCAACACACGATGCGCGTAATGCAACGTTACACGCCCGTAACGGGGCTGCTTCCCGGAAAAATTCGAAAGTAAATGCAACCGGACAGTATGCGAGGAACGATTCTTTCGAATCGGTTGACGCGGAAGCGACGCTCGGCCCGTAATTAGCCCGACAAAAACTCGCCGGCAATTAACTCGACCGCCGCCGATTGGAAAGGGAAAACACTTTCATCCCGTCAGGAATAATGAGAGGGTCGCGTAACACATCGCAGAAGCCTCGATCAGTATCGTCGGGTCCCCCCGAAAAATTCGACGACCACAGGTGCACGGAGAAAGCTCTCTTTCTCCCGTGAACGTCCGATGATTGAATTGGGGGAGCATCGTCGTGAGTGAAATCGTTTCACTGGAGATTATGGAAACCGGAAAAACCGCATCGTCCACCAATATTTATGGTATGCAAAAGTTCGAAGTGTACGTAACTTTGATGGTCGAAAATTTGTTTTGATTTTTTTGATTACACGAATTCAATGGGGTTTGATCAGCTGATTAGCTGGGAATCTTTGGTACGCGACCAATGGTCCGAAACGTGGAATATCTTGAGTATGTTCGAGACTTTCTGTAATCTCGAGGTATTCGAATTCCTTGAATAGTGTTAATGAAATTCTGGAGGTGATTGAACCTGTGGGCTTTAGGTACTAGAAGGTACATAGTGGTAATTTAAGAGGACTCACCGGATGTACGGGATGTTCGCTGGGATGTGGTATTTCGATCCTGGATCGAAATCGTCTTCTGACCTTAAAACAGGTGGTTTGATCCCTGCGTATTGTTCCATCAGACGGTGCCAATGGCAATTGTAGTCGTCCCTGGTGATGTAACCACGAAAGACGTCCCATCGCCATCTGTCTATCGCGATGCTGAAAGGTAGCATCACCAGCTTGTCCATCGCCAGAGCGAATAGATAGTTAATATCGGCTGTCGACTCGTCGATATATTTATTGCCCAGACCCAGAGTCTGCAGGTGTTTAGGGGTCGAGATGCTGAGGGCGACGGCTTCGCCGATTGCTTCGTGGAAACCTGGTGAAATGATCAAAAGTATTTGAATCACCTAGTGATATTTCATAAAGACTTCCTGATTTGCAGAACGATTCAAATTATATGAATAGCAGTGAATATATTACATCTGCCAAGCCTTAGCTATTATAACAGAATTACGAGTATTGACGAAATGAAGCGTAGTTCAATTACTAGACTGAAGAAAGTAGCCACATCCGATCACTCTATTTGCAACGTTTATAGCTGTCAGCTATAATTAAACGGAAACATTCTCGTTCAATTTGATTCACGGAATAATCAGCGAATAAATCTTAGTTAAGCTCTTTCATGCCTGAATGGCTGAAAGATCTGGTAATTCTATTTACTACCAGGATCTGAAACGATTATACGGGCAGGCTACTTGCTGAAAACCTAATCCTGCGTAAGACAGGAATTGATCTGTCTATCAAATCAATCCACCTCCACACTTATATACTGTTATACAACATCATACCAAAACCTTCTTGAAATATCGTAAATACAAAGGACTGTGAGTCTAAACTAGAATAGGAGTTTCACTAATAAATAAACAAAAATGAAAAAACATTCAACATGTTTTTCACTTCTCCATCAGTCCTGTCTAACACCCACTAAATAATCCCAAGTGATCTGATTGAAAAATGAAAAGAAAATTTAATTACTAAATTAAAGCCAGGCGATTCGACCTCCTTTTAGGAAATCATTAACAATTTCTAATTATACATATAACAATGTTCAAGTTTCCTATAAAAAAAAATCAAATAAATTACATTTAAACCGTTTCCGATATTAAGACGTTCTATGATTAAGGAAGACAGTACGAAGAAATTAACAAAACCTTTCTCGACTATTTTAAAATATTAGTTCGGACATTTGAGCTAAGGATGGCAGAATCGGTGTGTCACCACGGCCTCTCTTCATGTTCGACGAATTTATAATTTACGGTATCGCATCGATTCTAGCCGGCAAGGTCGGACGCGTCGTCGGAGATTTGTTTTCATAGCGCAATTCCATCGAGGCGAACGACCGGCGGCCGGCGGAACGGTGAAAGCGCGATTATACCATAATAAAAATATTTTAACGATCTCCCCGTGTACGGCCAGTGGAGAGTACTCGCACATCCACTCGGACACGACAAGCGACCGTACTCGCGCGCGAATCCACCTCGAGCGTGTCGTTCTCGCTCTCGCTTTCGCGCTATCACCCGTAAAAGCACCCGGCGCGGTAGACCGCCTACCGGAAGTCGGACGGTACCGCGGTTACGTAACCGGCGTGCGTGCGCGCGCGCACGCGTCGTCCACCGTGGTAAACCATTCCTACGTTTCTCGTTCTTGGGCGACTCGGATTCTAGCATTGTTTCGCAGTTCGATTATTCGACGAGCGTGCGACGGTTTCTTCTTTACGAAAGCTCGCCACTATGATTTCCATTTCAACGGTAATTGCTGTCTGGACGATTGTTGGATGACCTAACGTGAGTAAGAAAAATGCACAATCTCGAAGGAAATATTGATAGTTAGACTGTGGATGGAATCGTATTGTCTTTAAATTTATAAAGTCCTTGGGGATGGGAATTAAATTCTGTTCGATCCTTGAGTAAGAAGACTGTATAAGATTATATATATTCATATTATCTTTAGATTTATAAAATCGTTGGGAGAAGGGGATAAATTTCTGTTCGATCCTCGAGCAAGAAAGTTGTATAATTTTAAATAAAATATTGGTCGGTAGACCGTGGATTTAATCTTTCATGTTGTCTTTAGGTTTATGAAATCTTTTAGGTTGAGTATCTATGTCTGTTTGATCCTTGAGTAAGAAGATTGTATAACTTTAAATAAAATATTAATAGTTAGACCGGGGATTTAATCTTTCATGTTATCTTTAGATTTATAAATTCCTTGCAGAAGGGAATCAGTTTCTGTTCATAAGCTACATTTTATTTAGTGTCTCTTGATACCATTTCGTGGTTAAAACGTTCACTACTAAACGTCACATATGTGTGACGTTCCAATTTCTAGGTCAGCAAGTCTTTGCAATATTCATCTATACTTTATGTTATTATTATCTCTGTTCTATTTACTTCTAATATCCAGTCAAGAAAGTAAAATCTTATCCACATTCCTCCGTAAAAGAATTATAGAAACCTATACAGTCTTAATTAAATTTTCTAAAAAGATAACGGGCACATATATTGTACCTGGATTAGCGCCGTCCCTGAATTCTCGAGGGAGTCCACTGTACCGCAAGAAATACTGAATGTGTGCCATCTCGCGGTGCACCGTGATCAAGTCCTTCATGGTGACCTTGGTACACATCTTGATCCTGCGCGAGCAGCAGAGCCAATTAAGACGAAATATCAGAGAAACCAATTAGCTCGTCGTCTAACGTAAAAAGCCTGAACCAAGAAACCCGTTTCCGTTGTGTTACCTGTAATCTAAACGATTGCAGAAATCCCAGGCGGAAGCTTGGCAGATCAAAGGTCGGTCCCTGGGGTCTGCGAGTATACTTCTGGCCCAGAACTCCGACGGCATGACGCTCAGGTTCAAGGACAGGAAGAATTCTTCTCCTACCCGGAACATGTCGATCGGTGTGTATCCCTAATTAAATTAACATCGATCAGAAAAACGGTATTCTGAGGCGTAATAACTTAAATTATTACACTAATGGTAAGTAATATCTTTCCCTGTTAAAATTATTCGAAGAATCAATTGCTTCTGCGAATGTTTGCATAAAAATTTAGGAACACATTCTTAAACGAATTGAGTGTTTAACACAACTGTGTACCACGCAGTTAAATAGTTCGTAAAAAAAGGAAACCTTTGAAGTTTGAAGATGGTGAAGTATAGATAGGCAGAAAAACCGCCAAGCAGAAAGCATCAACTTTCACACGTCCAGAATTGTTTGATTCATACCCCATATCCCACATTTCTCCGATTCCTATCCCCGTGGGTTCAAAGTTCCAACGTGCACGTAATAAATTTTTCGCTCACAATGAACAATAAAGAGGAACAAACTTCTATGGAAATAGGCGAGCGATGGAATTTCTCGAATCTTCCCTCGCCCCGCAGCTGCTTTCGAATAATAACTTTGTAACGCGTTACTTTCGATTCCGCACGGAAACAATAGACGAAACCGGGCTGAATTCATTAGTCTGTCGAAGCGAGTTCCCATGATAACGATTATATAATTTCTCCCTGTTACCTGCGCCTGCATTTCCTGCGTCACGTCCACGTATGTTTTTCCGGGGTAGGGTATCGTGACGTCGATGATGTTGGTCCACGATTGGGCCCAGATATTCCCTACGAAAAACAATCAGGTGTCCAGATATTACCAAAGGTCAGTAGAATTATCAAAAGTTTAATGTTCACATTCACTTCGTACCAAGTATATGAGCCGGAAGTGGCGCATGAGTGCCGATCTTCTCAGGCCCGTATAAGTCCCTCAGTTTTCTCCTAACGTACGCGTGCAACTCCTCGTAAAGCGGTCTTATCATCGCCCAAACGTCTTCAATGTCTTGTTGCAGGTCAGGAGTCTCATAAGGGAACATCCAATAATCGGCAGCGTCGGTAAAGTCTGAACAAATAAATCATTTTCATCCTCCTTTCATTAAACAATCACTAGACTTAGAAGTCCTCTAATTTGTTATCCCCAAAGACTATAATGGAACCGTCCTTTTACAACATTTAGAACTGGTCCAAGAATATCGAACATCTATTACTAATCCTCAACCTACTGTTCAACCGAGCAGCCTCATTGTTCAACTGGACCAGCTGTTGATAAAGGTCCTTGATCCTCATCCCGCTTCGTCTTCTCCACTCCGTCCAAACATACTGCAGCTCGTCCCAGTTCCGACTTTTCGCCATGATCTGCGATATATCTGCGACAGATCAATACAACCAGATCATCGATTTCCATCGAATTAAGGATCCCATGGTACGACGCTGGGGTAGCAGCTTTCACGATAATCGCCCGCGATCAATTCGTCTCGGGACGGTTTTTTTGCGGCACGTGTGTGATCTAAGCCTCACGGAAAACGAGTTACCGCAGCGATTACAGCCGCGCGGATCGCCGTTAAGCGACCAAACCGCCAGCAGCGTTTCTTATTTCAATATCCCAATGAAGGCTGACAGAACTTTAACGGCCTCTTTTTAGTCCTCCCCCCTCTTGGTTCATTTGGTTCGCCGTAATGAAACCGTGTTACGTGTTCGTACTTCCTGCGACAACGATCCGTGACGGAAACACGGTTTTCCACGAGCATTGAAAACGGGTTTTCCCGCGGGACATTTTGGTGGATGGTACTCAAATTGGATTACGTGGTTGTCTTTTTTCCATGGCAGAATGTTACGCGTTTTGTTTGTTACAAAAACAGATACAAAACAAGAAATGAACGGTAAACTAAATGAAGCCGTTCGGAAGATCGTAAACTTCCGTGTTTCCCGCCCCACGGCGAACTGTTTTTATCGCTTAAATCAACTTTGCAATCGATCAGGTGAGATTATATACCTGTAGATTGCTACAATATTTTGTATAAACAAAAAGCCTTCGAAATCTAAATCTATCAAGAAGCAGGTTAAAGGAGTTGAAGTGGCTTTTAGCCAATACAAAAAATGGATGGAAATTATAAAAAAAAAATAGTAAATAAGAGAATATAGATTGTAAAACTCTGCCCTTAAAAACGCTGGGACCCCCTGTCCAATCAGATGATTATTCCTTTACAACCCTAGAATATTCTGTATCAAGAACAAACTTCAAAAATAAACTCCATCCAGAAGCAGGTGGAAGAGGATGTCAGCTAATACGAAAAATGGACGGAACTTAAAAAAAAGAATACTAAACAAGAATATGACATGAATTAAAAAAATATAGATTGCAAAAATCTGCCCTTAAAAACGCCACGAACAACGCCAACAACAACCACGTGCCTCTATTGCTCCTCTTAAAAAAAGGTTTTCTACGAGAAAAGTGTTCGCTCGCGAATCCCGTGGAATTAAACAGCTATGAATTTTCATGAAAGCATTCCGACGCGGCCGGTGAGATATTCATTTCGTTCGATCGCGCTACACGATTAGAGAGAGGCACTTTCTTGCTGGTCGAGCGTAATACATAGATAAACGCGTTCCTCGGCAATTTCGCCGGTCGGTCGGGCGCGAGCCGTGAAAATCGGTATCGCCGTTTCATTTCAGACTCGCGGGGACGTTATTCATTACCTGGATACAGGCGCAGTCCGCACCGGAAGGGATCGTTGTACGCGCAAATGCTCGCCTCGTTGTACACCGCCAGCATGTCGTTGATCACACGATTGTACTGGAAAAATAAACGATCGTCAACGGTCGGGAGGAGAAAAAACTTCACGTTCGTTTCCGTAACAGAATAAAAAAAGAGATATTCCATGCGAAACGCCTTGTTTCCTGCACAGTCGTTCTTCTTTTTTGGCGATCATAGGCTTCCGTAAGCGTTGATCGAGACACTATAATGTTACGCCGCGAGAAAGGAAATCTGTTCTCGAAACGTAACTTTCGGTCTTTTTTATTTTGTTTGCGTGATTTTTACGTAACCCAGATTAATTGACTGCGTTGGTAATCACACGGATGTATAAAGTTTCGAGGATTTCACGACGACCAACACGAAGAAATATTTCCTTTTTGTTGCTTGTTTTTTCGATGCGTAGAAAAACGATGCAGTAAATCATCGATGAGTGTTTGAAGGCTCCTCGGCACTGAAGATTAAATATTTTATAAACCAATGGCCATATGCGGTTGAAACAAATATAATTAATTTTAAAATTTCAAGCTTTATCGCTGTGATGAACTTGTTAAAAAGTCACCGTTATACTAAGGATCTTATCCTTATCAGTGCCGAGGAGCTTTCGAACATTCATCGATGATTTACCGTATAACACGAATATTCACTTTCGAAAACGATTTACTGGAGGTTCTCGTAATATTTCCTTTTTCCCTATAGAAAATTTATATAGAAACAAAAAATTGTTTACAATTTTCAAAATATTAATTTACGACCTATGCTTATGAGGACACATCACTAGCCGAGTATTATCTAGAAGTTATGAACCCTTTTTTTATATCATCCTGTACATATTCCATTTGTAATTATAGAGATTTTTGTGCTTCCATAATTCTAATGGACACTTATGTGATTCATTAAAAATTCACAAGATCGCCTGTAAGATTATTCAAGAGATCCTGGGTTACCTAGTCGGACAAGATCTATCAAAATTCATTTTTTATCAATTACCCTGTCCAACTGATCCGGCGGTAGAGCCGATGGTCCGACCACTGACAGATACCTAAGACGTCGTCTGATCGCAGGATCTCGAACATTGTTCCTGTCGATCCTCGAGATCAAGAACCAGGCCTGGTTCTGGAAGTCCGCGTATATTCGTTGCGCCTCCAGCTGAAGCAAGAAAAACGCAAATACATCAGCAATCCAATACTTTAACAGAATAGCAACAGAAAAGCTCATTCATAAACGCACAGATCTGGAACTGGCTTCTAACCAGACCGACTGTAATCTACTCGAAGGCGATCACCAGTGCGGAACTGGTTCGAAGTGCAAATCAACGAACGAAGGGGTTTTATCGTTAGCGATAAAACGCACCGGGGTATCTCGTTGTTCTTCGTGGGAGTAGGCGATAGAGGAAATCGCGGCGGAAAAGGAAATGCGTTTGAAAGTGCAAGGGATACCTGTGACGTGAAATTGTACGGTTTTCTGGGTCACTAGAAAACCTACAGACACGAAAACTAGATAATCTTTTCGATAAAATATTAAAGTTTGCCAGGGAATTCTATGCAGTTGGACAAATAACTACAGTCCCTGGCCATATTAGTGTGACCACTTAAAAATTTCATGAAAGGACAAACTTTTTTCTATTATATAAAAGAACACGTACTCATATAAGATTTTATGCAAAATATCAGGTTAATGTTAGACATAGTATTCAAGAAACATTTTAAATCAATATTTTATTATTCCCCCCTTTGCCCCTGTGACTTTTATTAAAACCCTCTTATTTGTAACATTTTCTTCAACAGTATTAAAACGTCAGGGGTATTTCCTGGCCAATCCAGTAACAGAATATTCTTCTCCTGGAGAAAAATTTGATTAAACCGTACGATACGATGCCTCAACAAAGAATAACAATTATCCTCAGGAAACTGGTGTTACTTACAGTTTGTCGTAGACAACTGGATACATTAATATGCCCAGGGACTGTCTGTCGGGAAACAAAGAGACCGAAGAATGTAGGAAAAATTCTTCTCCAACGAGGGTCGATTCTTCACAAACGTAATATATTGAGCAACCTCGAAGGATCTCGAGAGAGACGATCGTGGAGGGGAGGGATGTGCTTCACGGAACGAAAACGGACGAAGAAGGAAGAAACGGGCAATGATTGTCATTAGCATCACGCGACCCGTTATGCGAATTACGCGTTGAAGGCTGCAAAATTTCCGTTCTCGTCCCGTTCGGCCAACGGCTGATGCGTCGCTGTTACGAAATCGTTTCGGGACACGTAGTCGTCACAATGGCACAACGGCTGGGAACATTTCCCGCGGAGGTGTTCAGCCTCTCCGTGACGGACACAATGATAAAGGCCGGGGCGACGACGGAGAAATCCTCCTACGACGGACGGTACACGCGAAATTGCGATTCCCTAGAGAGTTATAGACCCGAGGATGATGTTCGACGACGGTCTCACGGGCCGATTCGTAGAGGAGGTCGAGGTCTCGCGGGACCATTTCCATCGAGAGGTGCGTCGAATGGTCGCGGCGGGTGGTGCACGGCCCCGATAATCTTTGCAGACCGTTCAAAACAGAATAACTTTCTTGAAACTGGATCACTTGACTTGAGTATTTTCTTTTTGCAAAGTTAGAAGGATCATGTTTACTAAATGTAGCGGCGAGAAAATTTGGAAAAAGTTGAAATTAGAGGGGCTATTTTATCTGAGATTGTAATGAAAATTTAGGAAATATATGTTTCCAAGATTTAGGTTAGTTACTGTATATGTACATGCTAAAACTTTAATTGAAATCATATGAACAATTAATAAATTAACTCGTTGCTTCGTTTGTGTATAGCAATAAAAGTTGCAGAAAATCCGAGAAAGTATATTGCGGTAATAATGCTTAAGTATACATTAACCAATTATGTTGACTGTTTTGATAGTTTTAGGGTCACAGAAGGAAAGTGGAGCGATAAAATAATGTGGGTCTTATTTTCGGCTTTCACAATCTACCGTACAGAATGTATACGGGTATTTTCGTGCACGAAATTCGGAATACAATCCGAACAGAGACCACTATCAGACATCTCGTACAGACTTTCAAAAAAAAACAAGATTAAGCGAATTTACCGCCTGCAGCTGCGTATATTCGTTCACGTCCGTCTCGTAGGCCCATTGCGCGCCGACATTGGCGCTGCATCTTTCGGTTCCGAGGAAGTCCAATCTCGCTAGAATGTCCTCGATCTGAGAATCGGTGGGGGGGTATTGCCTGTCGTAGTCGCTTCTAACATCTTCCACCAACGGAGGTAGGTCCAACTGACCGAAAACGTGGGAGACCAGACCGAGAAGAATCACCCAGGTCGTCATTGTCTGAAAGAAAAAATTGCCCTCAAACATTCTTCTCAATATCCGACAACGATAAAATAAAATCCAAATCATTCTTGCATCTGAGCAAGATTTGTTTTCTTTTTGCGTGTCGTTCTGACCAACAAACTAGTATAAATAATACAGAAATATTATTCAGATTTCCTGCATTTGCTCGAACAGCGAAGACAATGCTCGAAGTTTACCCAGATTGTCATCGTCTGAAAGAAACAATTGCCCCCAAACATTCTTCTCGATATCCGACAACGTTAAATAAAATATAAATCATTCTTGCGTCTGAGCAAGTATTGTTTTCTTTTTGCGTGTCGTTCTGACCAACAAACTATTACAAATATTGCAGATATATAATTCAGATTTCCTGCATTTGCTCGAACAGCGAAGACAATGCTCGAAGTTTACCCAGATTGTCATCGTCTGAAAGAAACAATTGCCCCCAAACATTCTTCTCGATATCCGACAACGTTAAATAAAATATAAATCATTCTTGCGTCTGAGCAAGTATTGTTTTCTTTTTGCGTGTCGTTCTGACCAACAAACTATTACAAATATTGCAGATATATAATTCAGATTTCCTGCATTTGCTCGAACAGCGAAGACAATGCTCGAAGTTTACCCAGATTGTCATCGTCTGAAAGAAACAATTGCCCCCAAACATTCTTCTCGATATCCGACAACGTTAAATAAAATATAAATCATTCTTGCGTCTGAGCAAGTATTGTTTTCTTTTTGCGTGTCGTTCTGACCAACAAACTATTACAAATATTGCAGATATATAATTCAGATTTCCTGCATTTGCTCGAAGAGCGAAGACAATTGTCGAAGATCATAGAAGAAATTGCCCGGCAGCTCAGAGTAAACGAGAACACACCGGCTAATTTAACCGAGGCAATTACTGCCCGGTTCAGGAATAATATTGTTTCCATAGATCATGCGCCACGGGTTTACGAGCACAGCCGTTTACGTGGTGCAATTCATTTGTCGACTTCACGGTCACGTGTTACGTCTTCTCGCGCGTTACGTATTTCCATCCCAGCACGAGAGGCTATTCATGCACGGCAGTAGGTCATCCCGCGATCACGCCGCGAGATCCTTGCGACCTTGAAACGTTCGATATCTAACTCGATCGGATCGCGACACGTGAAACAGGCGCGTGAGAAAGACCAAGAACTAGAATCGTCGCACGGAACTCTCGATTTCTGTGTAAATCGACTACGGGAATCGTCACGCCCTGATTCCACCCTCCGTTTTACCCTTGAAACGATTCCAGGCTGTACGATTAATCAGAAACAATTTTAACATACACTGAAAAATTACGATCGAGAATTCTCAAATTAAATCACCCTCAAACAGGTGAATCTCTTACAGCTTTTCAGGTTCACAACTCTCCCCCCTTCAAACTTCCTCCAATACACATCCACCTTCTAGAGGAAACAGCTCACAGAGTTCATTAAGAAACAAATTCACCAATCAATTTATCAGTCTCTTAAACGTTCCGACTTCATCCTGTGCACTTTCACCCTCGAGATCTTCTTAAGTGGACCGTTTATCGATCCCCTGCGAACCAGTGTAGACAATGCTACCCCTAAAATCGACGATCCCGAAGTCACCCCTTAAAGTGGAATATCGAAGTCATCCCAAAATGTTGACGTAGACAACACACAGAATTCGACGAAGAACGAGACTTACTAAGTCCTCTCAAGCCTCTGATCCACCGTGATCGACGGTCGAATCGTGCTCCTCAATCGGCTGCCTGATCCTCGAGATCGTTCAGCGTTCGAACGGATCGCGGGTGTCGACGATGAACGGCGAGACACGCGACGATCAGTGACGAGCTACCGTAACGTTCTGGAGCCGCTAAAAGCCTCGTGGTCGACCGCAAGTGTACATTTATCCCTACGTGGCTGTTCGAACCCGACCACAGGGAGGTCATCCGTGGCGAGAGGTGGGGATCGGTCGGTGTCGTCGTCGCTTCGACGATGTCTCGTCGCGTGGGAAGACACCCACAGGGGGGGGGGGGAGAAACAATGCGAAAAATGGAAATAAGAAGCTCGATCTTAACGGGAAGATATAGTAATTCTTACAAGATCAATGGAATGACTTCCCTGTTTGGGGTTGAAGAACGTTAAAATTTTTCTTTGGATATCGAATGGAAAATTACATTCCGATGTTCCTTCTGTGTGTCTACTTTGGTAGTAAGATATTAGTAGAAACGCCATGTTTAAGAAGAAATGACGTTTTTTTCGGAAATACAAAATAGGTCATAGAGGAAAATCGAGGGTCACACTGTTTGCCTATTGCGAAATTCAAACTCTCACGTTGACATGCGTCGTACTCGTCCCCTCTCAATGAGCCTCATTGTCTACACCGTGTACCTGCTTTGCATCTCGTAACGGTTTACTAATTTTCCCCTCGGTCGACGAAAACTAAGCAGAACCCGCTATCATTCATACAGACTTTCCGAGGAATTAATCACGTAATTGGATAATCGTTCATTCTACAGCTATCCTTTATTTTCTTGGAGTCTCAAAGAGTGGGGATATTTAGACACTTTATAGAAGAATATCTTCATGAGAATTTCCATTTATTGGGATTGGAAGGGTTCAGCCCGTCCAGCGATTATTAATCAAAACAACGACGTGGGGGAAGATAGATCGAGACTCGTTGGATGATGGATCACAGGGACCAAGACGCGGAGATGAAATCAGGGGATGAAATGGGGCGGTGAAAAAGCCACTACGACTGAGGATTCACAAATTCTATCGACAATTACGGGATTCGTCCATTCGTTTCGTCTGCAATCAATTAATTTGCGTATGAAACATTCTAAAATTCCACGAAGTTGAAGAAAAAAAACAATGTGACTCGCGTATCGCGGGATGATTCATCATAGTCTGTTCCACTAATTGCGCAATTATCTTCCAGAGCTAATCTCATCGATGCCGCTTCCTGCTTCGCCCCGACCGTCCGCCTATCCTGAGAAATAATCCAGCCGCCATTGTGTCACCGTCGCATCAGCCTTTAATTCAAACCGTGATTCATAATTTTGCAAGTTTTAATAACGTGAGAGAAGTGTGGCCGGAGGGCCGGAATTACCGGTTCGACCGCGGCGTTAACAGTCATTCTTCCGGAGGAAGGGAAGCTTTCAACGATAGGATTAATCGCGATCTTCCTCTTCACAGTGATCGCAAAATTTTCGTTACACAGTAAATCCTCGATGAGTGTCCAAAGGCTCATCGACACTGGCAAGAAGATCCCCAGGTGTATGGGCTGAGTTATAAAATATTTAATATTCAGCGTCGAAAAATTTTATATTCACCTTCGAACACTCATCGAAGATTTACTGTAATTTTGACAGTGACCAAACTCGAAGCATCGCCAAAACTCTATCGATTTACCATTTTTCACGTCAGTTCGCGCTGATTTTATCACATTCCAATGCCGATAACCGTGGGAAAGGAGTTCGAAATCACCGATTAATATTCACCGTGAAGACTCGTCCAAGGTGATCGTTGTGATCGCGCCACGCCACCGGTTCGCAATAGTTTTCATCGATCGCGGAACGCGTCCGCGCGTGATGCATAACAACAGTGACTAAACTAAATAGACGCTCGTTCATCCGCATGAAAACCATAAACAACCGCGCCCTGACGATGGATCGACACGGGTATACTCTCACGATGATCTGGAACGCGGTTATACGGGGCCTTGAGTCGTTAAGGCGAACCTCTATACGTTTCGCTGCAGGTTGCCTACGTTTTCCATAACAATCAATGTCAATTTTGAATCTTTAAGTGGACTACCGTCACTTTTTTGCAAGTTGTTAATGATTAATTTCATTAGATTATTGTATATGAAATAGACAATTTAGTGATAGGTATGTCTGAGGTTAGTTTTGTGAATGGGAATTATTAATATAGCTTAGAATTATTAGTGTACTCTACTCGGTTCAAGGTACTATTTGACGTAACAATAAAACTAATCAATGTTGGTTAAATTCAGCCATTCTCGTCACATACACAAAAAGATGGACATTTCTGTCAACTTTGTAGAGAAATTTTATAAAGATGCATGTAAGTTTCTGTTAAAAAAATAGTATTTGGCGGTGACAACATTCGGTCAGCTAAAAGTGTCTTTGAAAAATGATTTCCGAATTCACATATTCGTTTGTAGAGTTCTGAAATAACAATTCGATGTCAAAACTTGTATGCAACTTCTATTTATATATTCTCCTTGTCATAAAATTGACCATCCTTTTATAACAATTTTTCTTAATTTTCAAATAAAATTCAAATTTCGGTAAATATGTAATTTGGTTAAATAGAAGTGACAGTCTTTCATAAGGATTTAAATCTCGTCTTGACTAATAAAATTCGTGTAATGCTCGATATAATATAAAATACCAATAATAAAGCCATCATTGCACGTGCTATCCAACAGTCACCAAGAAAGAATGGTCGCAAGTTTCCAATTTGAAGAAATACCTTATACATGGTAAACTCAATTTTGTTTACCTTCATAGGTGGGCACAACCAGGTGCAGTGTAAAATTGCCAGGGTTAGTTACAATTCAATTTCGTAACCCTCCTCTCTGTGGTATGGGAATCGTTTCCCGTTAAAGGAATATAAAAAACATATAGGTTTCCAACGAACGAAAGGCGAGACTTTTGGACGAAAACGTAGGTGAAGAGGGAATTGTCCGATTAGTCCCACACAATTTCTTGCGAAACGATCTACGGCGAGTGCCTGAAAAATTACAAATTCGAGGGAACAATTACGTTACACGGGCGTCTCTAATTGCCAGCCCGGTGTCTTCGCCGGGCGAAATTGAATTAACACCGAGAAGGACGCGAGCCGCAATCCGGGATTTCAATGCCGCGCGTAAAAGTGGAAACCGGCGCCGTGCATACGCAATCGCGACGCAGGTGGCTCTATCGTGCCTACTCTTTAAGGTGGCTCGTGCAAATTTTTGCTAATTATGAATTTAGTTGAAAATTTAACAGAACATTCTTAAAAGCTTCGACTTTCGATTGGAATAAAAAAATCGCAAGGTCAACGATAAAATTATTGAAAAAGTAACGTTATACAAATTTCCTTTTTAACACGAGCCTGATGGAACTGTATTTGATACTGAGAACTTAATTACTTTTTATTTAGTGAAATAAAATGACATTTTCATAAAACATTAGGTGGTTATAAATTTTGTTTATGGAGATTATGATGGCACGGGAAAAAAAGATATGTTAACGATGAAAGAAAATTAAAAATTAAGATCAAAGTATGCAAACTTAGGGTCAATGCGTTTGGTAGTATCTCCTATGTCTGCTGTGAGCGTCAACGTCACTTATTTTCCTTTGGTTTGTTCGACGAACTTTCCAATTTTTTCTTAAAAATTAAACAAAATTAGAGCAAGGAAAACAATTTGTTTTCTCTACCTATTTGTAAAATTTGGTCCTTTTCAGTAGTTTAAAATATTAATCAATCAAATTAAATTGGTAAAATTGATAAAAAGTATAAAACGCCATATGGAGCTACCTTAAAAGTGCGTCCGGTGTTCTCTCGCGACAGGCAACTTTGACAATGCGAATCCCATCGGGAGATAATGGGTGCACAGGTCCCACGTACCGGCCGCGATTCTGGGTTCAAGTACGCGAACGTTTACGCGGCTCAGCCGTGCGTTTCTTTCGCCTTTTTGCGAATCGTCTATTACACGTGAAATACCTCACAACCGTCGATATTTAAATATCTATATGTAATAACAATTTCTGTAATTTCGTTTGGAAGAGTTCAGAGAATTATTTCGCGTCAATAACTATTACGGTAAAAACGCAACACACCTCTAAAATAAAAAATTTGCAATTTTGGTCAAATGGGTCAATGGGTAAAAAAAAAAATGATTCATTTTTTTCAAATACCGGACGTGCTGGGAAAAAGGTGCTTTGCAGATTCGTATTCAGCTAATAAAGATCTATCAAAAACGTGATTAGATTATACGGTAGGAAAAATGTTTAATTTCTTGAAGATTGTTATATAAGATGGAAGACAGTGAACTATTAAAATGAAGAACCTCGATATGCCCGTCTCTATGCTCTTTTTATCTCCATCACTTCTTACTTTTCTTTCGAAGTCTGTATTTACGGTCCGAAGTCAATAAGGAAAATCTTTCGACATCGTTTTACCTACTTCTATATTTATTTAATATTATTACGATATCTATGTTCAGAGACCGATTTTCTTTCTTATCTTCCTTTTTCCCATCGTTAATGGTTATTCAAATGGTGAATGACGCGAGACATTCTTGTCAACACAATACATTCTACATTTTCTTTACATTATTCACATTCATTTCCTTAGTTTATTGTTCCGTTTTCCTACGGAACATCTTCGGTTCAGACGATTAAAATCGTATTACGTAAGCCACCTCTGTTTACCGAACATATTGTTTCTATTAGAAAAGTCGACCTACTTCTGATACGACCCGTTTCCTTCCTACCCGGCTTTCTTCGTCATTGTCGGTAATTGGCGTCGGATGGTGGAGAACGCGCCTGTTCGCGGAGCAATTTAGCAATTATGATTTAACACGGTGAGAAGAAATCGCAAGGATAAGTCGAGATAGGCTCGCGGGGCTCCCTGCTTTGAATACAATGTGGCGTATGTTCGAGCGGCAATAGCGATGGTCGTGATTAAAACCGTGGATGAAAAGAACAATTCAAACGAGGATTAATTAGCAGAATTAGAACAGAACACTCTAGTTTTCTGTATAATAACTCGGTGGAATTTAATAACTGTTACTTACTCTACACGAATAATTC